ATATTAACAACAATAGTAATTATACTATTTGGTTAACCCAAGTTAATGAATCTTCTTGATATCACTAATCCTTTCATATATTTCCCTGTCTCCAGCTCCTGTTTTTGTCAGCTAACAATTGATAAAACAAGTCCCAAGTCAAAAACTATTCAGTTTCTTCCTTTCCTTTCATCGTCTCGTACCTGATCTTAATCCAGTCATCCACGTTCTGGCTGGCCATTAAGGTCTCCAAGTAGTCTCGGCCCAGGTAGTAAGGGGGCCTTTCGTTGATTCGCTGTGGGGGGCACTCCAGCAAGCCCACGGGGATGTACCTGAGCAGTGCCCGAAAAAGGAAAATGAGATGCCCGTGGAGACTCTCAGCCATCCTGGTCATGGTTGTCCCAAAGGTGCTTTTTCAAGAGGCCGCTGGACTTTCTGGTTTTGTTTTTTGGAAGCTTCTCATTCAAGAAGCTTCTTCTGCTCTGACTGGATGATGGGGAACGGAAATCTGTAGACATTCTCAGCCATCCCGGTCCTGGTTGTCCCCACCTTCTAGTCAGAGCGGAAGAAGCTTCTTGGAGGAGAAGTGAAACATCTTCAAAGAAAAAAACAAGGAGGTCCAGTTTGCCTCCTCAAAAAAGCACCTTTGGGGAATGGAAGGATTTATACTCCTTGCAGGCAGCTGGTCATTTGCGTTCTTTTTAAAGAGTCGTTGAGGCCACTTGGAGGTTTGTCTGTATCCTCAGACTTGCCTTGGGGTTGCTGAAATGTGTTGTAGACCAGGGGTGGATGATGTCCTCCGCCGTTCCAAGAAGGCTCCACCCCCATCTGCACCACTCGGGTGACCCTGAGGACACAGACAAACCTCCAAGTGGCCTCAAAAAAGCTCTAAAAGGATGCAAATGGTCAGCTGTCTGCAAAGGAATATATAAATCCATTCCCCTCCAACCTGTCAGAACGGAAGAAGCTTCTTGGATGAGAAGTGAAGTGTATTCAAAAAACCCAGAAAGTCCAGTTGCCTCTGGAAAAAGCACGTTTGAGTCCCTAACTAGCTAATTCCAGTTCTCTCCTGCAAAAAGGGCCGTCCTGCCCACCACAATCATCTGTGTCAGAGTGTTTGCAGCGTGACTACTATTGTGAGACAACCCAGGAGCGAAACACAGCACAACAGAGGCTTTGTCTTTTAACAGTGGTTGTTAGGAATGATAGTCACCTAACAGTTGGGTTGGCAATATATAAACCAGGATAGTCATTTAATACTGTATCTTTAAGAGAATACTGCAATTGTGATTGGCTAAGGTTGATATACAAGACTGCTATATACATACATGCGTTAGGTAAATACCAGGCAAGCAAGCAATCTTCATTACTCTGCACAGAGAACTACAATGGAGACAGAACACGAGGAGAGAGAGAGAGAGGCCCTCTCATGGCCTCCCTTATATAGACAGCTTCTTAAAGCGCAGTACCCTGCTGACTTATCATCTTGGCTTACAGCCTTGGAGCAGCTGGTCAGCTATTAAATCTTCATTAGCTTAACAATCTGGAAAAATGTACAGGAGCCACGAAGGAGCCCCCCCCCCCCCCCCCCCCCAAAGAAAGTGGTTGCTCACCTGCAGAGGAAGGAAAGCCACTCCAGCAAGAACTTCCTGGTCTTCTCCACACCTTGGGTGTCCGAGCCCCAGTGTTCCAGGCCGTAGTTTGTGTAATCTTGGAGGATGTCCAGCCTCTCTCTGGAAGAGATGTCCCAGTGCCGCTGTTCCTTGATTTCAGTGAAGATCCAAGGTTTGATGAGCGCTCCCCTGTGTGACCAAGAAGAACAGTCATGGCGGCATTCAGAATCTGGGGAGCGTGTTACAAATGGGAGGGGGTCATTCCAGGAGGAACTCGGGTGTGGGCTGTAGACAGGGGTCTTTCCCAGCCCCAGATGATGGATGTATGTGAGGGAGGAGATCATCTGGTGATCTTCTGGCGGGAAGCAAGGGAGCCATTCTGAATTCTCCCTTAAGCAATGTAAGTTTTACATACATACATACATACATACATACATACATACATACATACATACATACATATTAGAGGAGGGAAGAAGAGAAGCTGTTTACCGTGCAATCATGATTCCCGAAACTCCGCTCTGCATGGCTCGGTTAGCGTCTTCGAAAGAAAAAATATCGCCGTTTCCTGTGCCGCAAGAATAATTATAAAAATTAGATAGGTAGATACGGTAGATAGATAAATAAGACAGACAGACAGACAGGGTGAAGATGTGGAGTAATTCAAGGGGAGCAAGCAAAGCCATTCTGAAAACCATGCATGTTTAACTATCCTGCAAGGTAGATATTGATGGATGGATGGATGGATGTTAGATAGATAGATATTGATAGATGAGATAAAGATGGATGGATGGATGGATGGATGGATGGACGCGATAGATATTGACGGATAGGTAGATATTGATGCATGCATGGATGGAT